TGGCGTCTGGGGTCTTAAAAGCTAGCGAGAGGCCATCTAAGATGCATCAATTGGTCCCAACCCACCTGGAGCAAAGGAGACTGAAGAACACCAAAGACACAAGGAAAATATTAGTCCAAGAGACAGAAAGGGCCACATAAACCAGAGACTGCATCAGCCTGAGACCAGAAGAACTAGATGGTGCCCAGCTACCACCAACGACCGCCCTGATAGGGAACAGAACAGAGAGTCCTTGATGGAGCAGGAGAAAAGTGGAGTGCATAACTCAAATTCTAGTAAAAAGACCACACTTAATGGTTTGACTGAGACTAGAGGGACCCTGGAAGACATGGCCCCTGGACTTTGTTAGCCCAAAACTAAAACCATTCCCAAGGCCAACTCTTCAGACAAAGATTAGACTGGGCTATGGGACATAAAATGATACTGGTGAAGAGTGTGCTTCTTAGCTCAAGTAGATACATGAGAGTAAATGGGCAGCTCCTGTCAGGAGGTGAGATGAGAAGGCAGAGAGTGTCAGGAGCTGGTTGAATGGTCACAGGTAATCAGGGGTGGAAAGGAGTGTGCTGTCACAGTACAGGGAGTGCAACTAGGGTCACATAACAATGTGTGTATAAATTTTGGTATGAGACACTAACTTGAATTGTAAACTTTCTCTTAAAGCACAATTAAAAAAAAATTCCAACACAAATAAACTTTACAGTCTCTGTGTGGTGGAAGAAGAAAAAAAACCCAGAAGCAATAAAACAACATTGCACGCTTCTAGCAGGTGCAGAGGAAACCACGTGATTCTAAGCATCCCTATAACTGGATAATAATGACAGCTCTTACCAGAGTGCATTAGAAAGTTCAAAAAGTAAATTAGCATAGAGTTTTAGCCTTGTAGGTATATTGATACATGTAAGCTGGGCTTACAAAAAAATGTTTTGCTGACGTAACTACGGTATAGTTCTAGAGATAGTCATTTTGGTGTCACCCCTTCCTTAGTGTCACCCAGTGTGATCCACACGCCCCCCCTCCCCACCCTTCTAGTAACGCCACCGGTCAGAGGGGAAGAAGAGGCCCTTGCAGGTACTGCCATGGATGGGTTCAAGAGGGTGCTGCTCTGAGCTGCAAAATAACCCCACCTTTCCTTCCCTTACGGTCTTGTGTCGGACAGTGCCTGTGTCTCGCAGCGGCAATCGTGTGTCTCTTCGATGCGTTTGTGGTCACCAAGAGGATGAGGACAGCTGTGAAATCATTCCTGCAAATCAAAGTGGCACAAAAGTCCGACCCTAAGCCAGGACACTCGCAGATGCACCTGTCTTCGTCCCATCCCTCCAAGCCCACCAGCTACTGAGCTCGGATGCTGCCGCCCATTCTGGCCCCCTTGTGACCATAAAATCGGGGCTGCTAAATCGGGAACACACACACCTGCTTCTTCGTGTTGCCTTGTGTAAAAGTCGCGTTACACTTTCATGAACGTGGCGCTGAGCCCGCTGAGCGCAGGGCGCGGCTGCCCCGGGAGGCCTGGCGAGGGCCGCGACCCGGGATTTCAGCTGCCAACCCGACCCGGAGGTGCGAACGGCGGCTACAGCCTTGGGGCCACCAGGAGAGGCTCCGCCAGGACCGGAAGGGGAGCTTGGCGCGGAACTGGCACCCGCATGGTGGGCGCGGAGGGGGGACCCGACGGGAGCCTCCGCGTGGACGGTGGTGGGCCTGGCGGATTATGGGTTAATAAGAGCTGAGCTGCTCCGCGCGGTGAGATGCAGCGGGACCCCAAGCGGAGGTGGGACCCGCGCCGTGAGCCGGCACGCGCGGAGACCGCACAAGCGTTGGCCTTCCCTGGGCCCGGCCGTTGGCTGAGCGCGGCCTTTGAGCAGGTCGTTGGGCACCAGGCTCTCTCACAGACCAGGCCTATCAGGGAACATCGGGAGAAGTTGGGCAGCCTGTGAAAAGCTAAGGACTCCGACGCGAACATGGCTGACAAGGGCAAGGGCAAGGCCAAGGACAAGCCCAAGGACAAGGCCCCGCCAGCACCGAAGCCCGAAGCCCCGCCGGCTGCCCCGCC